AGAGAGAGAGCTAGGCTATGTCAGTATAGCAGCCAATCACAAGGCAGGTCACCAACTGTCAGCCAGGTCACCAACCACCAGTCCCCAGCTCCAGAGATGTCTTAAAGGGATCTCAACTTACAGCGACACAGTTCACAGGCTAGGCATCCCACAGGTAGTGAGGCACAGAACAAGCAAGGCAGCCGCACACTGGTCCAATGATCAAAGAGCAAGAGACAAGAAAGGCAAGGCTCACCAAGCCATTTATCTCTCTGCCCTTCAGTAAATCCCACTTGTGTTTATCGGCCAGGCTGGCACAATAAAGTCTCTCAACATTCAATTAACTCTTGGCTGCCTTGTGGTTTCCGTGCACCAGTTTCTAAAGCTAATGTTTCCGTACATCAGAATTTCCAAGGCTCTTCTCCTTATTTTTCTCTCTGCATACAATACACTTAACAGATACACACATTCCTCAGTGCAGTCAATATGTAATCTCATCCAACAGCTTTATTTTTTTCCCCTTCCAAATTCTCCTTTAAACTTTTATCTGTAATTTTCTTTATTACTTATGTTGTTGATTCCTGAAGACTCCTTTAGATTTCATGGGGCATGTTAGATTTCCTGACCATATTCTGGCCACAGCTTCCACAGTGAAATCTGAGTTGAGCCACATCCACATGTCCATCCCGGAGAGAAGCCAGTTGACTAGCTTGGGAGGGAGCGCTTGTGCCCCGCCTCTGGGTTCTTCTTGTTTGTCCAGACTGAAGCCCCTCCTTAACTAAAGCAGCATGAAGGGACCTTGCTCGGATGTCATCTCAGATACTGCTGATTCCTCGCTGACTGCGCATACGTGGTAGTTTGCGTCGGAAGTCATTATGCATTTAAAATGCACTTAAGCAAAAGCTCTGATTACTAATTGCTGCACTTGTTGTTTTGTAGAGGATCGTTGTGTGGGTCGCTGCGTGTCCCAGAGCTGCATATTAGCCCAGGAAGAGGAGCAGTATCTGCAGAGTGGGGACCAGCAGCTGACTCGACATGTGCTGCTCTGCCTGCTTCTCATTATCGGCCTGTTTGCTGTAAATGTTTCTTCTGATTTTGCTTAGGGGCCATTTCTTCAAATGTTGGGTGAAAGTGTCCTCCCAACAACTGGGGATAGCTGAGCTGCTGTGGCTGCCAGGTCATTGGGACTCTATCTGCTCTGGAGTTTCAATGTTTCAGGGGAATGGAAGAATAAATAGTTCTCAGTATTACTGCTTTGGGAGATCGACCATAAGGTCAGCAGTTTGAGGCCAGCCACTCCTTGGGGGAATGACGAGGCTTTCTACGCTGACAGGGGCAGTTCGGCCGTGTCCCCTAGGGTCCCTGTGAGTCAGCACGGACTCGATGGCAGTGAGTGACTGTTGCCTTGGCTTATCCCGCTCAGAAGCATTTATTGCTTCTATGCTCTCCAAGCCCCTATGTGGATCCGCAATCTCTGACTGCCCTTTGTGATCTCGGAAGATGTCTCCGGTGAACTTCAAAGAATGATTTTTCACGTTTTTGGTTTTTTTTTTTTTTTTTAAGTCACGGGATCGTTACAAAATAGAGAGAAGGGGAAAAACAACCGGTCCTATCTTCTAACTCCCTAATGCATTTCTCATGGTTCAGAACATACGTTCAGATTTTCATCCTGCTTTTGTCACTGATACGTTAATTTCCATGCCACGATGTCCTGCTTGCACCTGTTGCTCTAAGTGCAGCGCCCAGCAGACCCGGTGCGAGCTGTCCCTGTGGACTGCCGGTGTGCCAGAGTCCTCTCCTTCCCGACTTGATGCTCTGTGCTTGCTCCGGATGGATTCCCCAAGCCGGGAGGCCTGGGACACAGAGCATAAACATTTCTGTGACTTTGGGTGCATTCTGCTAAATGCTGGTCCAAAAGGGCAATGCACACGTAGAAAAAACTCCCACCAGCGCCAACTGTTACAGTTCTGCTTTGTTACTTCTGTCAGCCTTTCTCTCAGGCCTAATTTACTCATGAGCCATTCGTTTTTGCTTCTTCGGTTTCTTCTGGGAGATCTTTTCCTTCCATGCAACCTCCTCTTCTGGTGTAGGAACAACTCATTTCTTCTCAGTCAGGATCATTTGCTACGGCAGGGGAGCTCACCCACGGTTGGGTTTGTCTGACCATGTGCTCTATAAGCCCCGCAGCGGATGTTGGAGGCTTAGTTTACCTGGGTGTGCTCAATGACCTTAGCATCCACATCTAACCCTCTAAGTTCAATTTTACTGTCTCCGTTTTTTAAACATGTGCAGCAAAAATTCAGCACTCTCTTTGGACCACCGACCCTGTGTCCAAACCTACTGTGTGGCCTGGGCACACCTACTAACTCCATGATTGTAATGTCAGGATGGCACACCGGCTTCTGCAAAGTGGCATCTTTGAGCTACTTGATGGCATCACGGACATGCAGACCCTTGTGCATCTCCAGCAGTTACGGCCCGGGCAGTTTCACGAGTGTTCTTGAAATGGACCGAAGATTTGAACCTCTTGATTGGCATGGTTTCGTGGGATTTTCTGAGTCAAATGAACATCGAACTACTTGGCAGATCGACTCAGGCTGCTAGGAGCAGAGGAAGAGCAAAGGCTCTGGGGATATTATTTTTTACTTGATTATTTTATAAGGGAATGGTATATAGAATTTTATTTTTTACAGTGCATTTCTTTGGTTAATGAGAATTTTTGGAAAGAAAAAAAAAATAGCTATCTGCTATCTTGTCTGCGTTACCAGTTATTACTATGCAATTCTTTGCGGTAGCTCCACCGTAACTTGCTTAGGGGGAAAGTGGTAGACCATATAACTGAAACCCTCCAGGCAACCCTTTCATACGCTACTGGGGTGCTGGCTATTTACTGTGACGGCAACCAGCACCATTGTCAGCTGCTGTCTAAGAACGAACATCCCTGTGTCAGAAACGATGTCAAGAATTGTTTTCACTGGGGAGAACTAATTTTAAAACCAGTCCCCTCTTTGGCGAGCCGGCAGCCCGATATATTATATAAGCTTTTTTCTTCTGTTTCCTGTCTTCTTGCATCAGCTCTGATCAGAGTAGGCACTGTTTGAATGACAGCTGTCAGGAGGAGAGGTTGAAACGTCTTGTTCAAAAGACAAAGCCCAGATAGTCTCTCTGTGTTCAGCCCCCGCCCCCACCCTCAATCATCAAGTAGATGAGTTACTGTACTGTGCTCCTGTGGGAGAGAAACAATGGGCTCCCTCCATTTTAAACTACTGTTTTCTCCTTCCTTTACAGAACCTTTCCAGTTGCTTGTGGTGGCTATTCAACCAAGAGCCAGGAAGACTCTATGTGGAGTTGCAGTTTTTCTGTGCTGTGTTTAACTTCGGCCAGGTATTGCCTTGCTAAGAACTTGCAGGAGGTTCTGTTTTTCTGAGTGAGTCTGTTGGGTTTCCCCTCCTCTTCTGCTGGGGATGTTATTTTCCTTTAAATCAGAAGGGTGGAGCTAGTTAGCCGGCAGCTGGTAGGCACGGCAGCTGCCAGCTGCTGTCTGTCTCCTGGTAGGAGATGTATTTCTATATTGGCCAAAGTCATCAGAAAGCACACAAAAGTGGTTCCATCTCAAATATCAAGTAACGCTTTGCTTAGGTTTGGAGAGAAAGAAGGATAATGTAAGTAGGGACAAGATGTCCTACGTTCTTTGTAAACTTCGTTGTGATTGGAAGAAGTCACTGGCTTATCTTGGAAACTGGCTTATCTTCCTGAGCTGGCCTTTAGTTGAGCCCATAGGTTCCCAAACTTATTTGGCTTCTGCCCCTTAAAAAAATTTTTTTTCACCATTCCCCTCTCAGGTCCCGACCTCCCCTCACCCCTCACCCAAAAACCCAAGCAATGAAAAACATTTGTACTGAGACCCATAATACTGGATCAAGTATTGGTACATGGTTTCATTCTTTCTTGTTATTACTTGGGATTAATACATATTTCAGATCATTCCATAGTTCAATCACATCCAGCAGCATTGTACATTTGCTACCACAATCCGTTTCCAAACATTCTTTTTCTATGTGGACCCCTTGACATCATCATCCCTTCACCCAACCACCCACTCCTCACAAAACCCGTATTCCACTTGCTGACTGTATAGGTTCATCGGCCCTGGTACGATTTTTGTAGCCTCCCTGGATCCGTCCCGTGTCAGCAGCTGGTTTAGGAACATCATTTCATTTGCATTTTGGTGGTTCTTGAACAATCAGGTACTTGAGTCTTATATAACCCTGTAAAACTCCCAGTCATCCAGTAGACAGCCACCCTACAGGACAGGGTAGAACTGCCCCTGTGGATCTCTGAGACTGTGACTCTATAGGAGAAGAATGTCATGGTATATACATAGATATGGGTCAGGGATAGTAGCTTCCATTTCTAAAGAGTCTACCATGGCCAAGCATTGTTGAGCATCTTACATTCATGATCTCATTTAAGCATCACAAACCAAGCTCACCGCCATCGAATTGATGCTGACTCATAGCAACCCCCAGTGGGTTTCCAAAACCGTTAACTATTTATAGGAGTAGAAAGTTCAGTCTTTCTCCAGAGGAGCTGCTGATGGTTTCGAACTGCTGACCAGGGCTTCCTTAAACAACACAGTAGTACCTGCAAAGTAAGCATTATCATACCAGCTTACAAAACAGCAAGCAAAGATTCCACGAAGAAGTAACCTGCTGGGTTTAAGGAAAGGACATTAAGGAAAGTATGTGTATAGTATGTATATGGCATTAAGGAAAATATTGCAAAAGTTAAAAACTTGACCCCATCTTCCAACCCCTTACTTATTAATTACCAAACCCCAAACCCACTGCCATCCAGTGGGTTCCAACTTATAGTGACCTGATGTCAGGTTTCTGAGGCTGTGAATCTTTACAGGAGCAGACAGCTTCATAATTCTCCCTCAGAGAGGCTAATGGGTTTGAACAGTCTACTTTGTGGTTAAAAGACCAGTGCTTACCCAACACCACCACCAGCGGTCTTTCCCTCTGTAATTGGAGAGTGTTCATTCCCAGAGAGATCATCAGGTTGAAAAAGCACTGTTTGTAATCATTGATTTTGCCTGTCAAACCAGAAATCACTTGCTACACGAGTTAGTGAACACTTGTCCTTGGCTGTTAGAGCCTAACATGAACTTCTTCAAGTACTTCCTGTTCTGCTTTTCTCGTGGCTGTCTCCACCTAGATCAGTTTCACAGAGACAGACATGAGCATCCCAAAGGCTAATTGATGCCCTCCTCCCTGCTACTGTGGAAGATCTGATTTTCCACCTAGGAAGTAGAAATATCACAGTCTCATTCATCAAGTTGTATTGTGAAAGCCAGTTCTGAGTTGGTCCAAGACTGAATCTGAAAGCCTCACTTGCAGGACTGCATCAGGAACAGAGCCAAATGCCAGAAGTACTGCATTTAAAATGCTGCCCACATAGCTTAGGTCTCAAATGATTCAAAGGAGCAAGAGCAACAACACAGCGCTCTGCTCCCATCTGATTCTCCCTCCGGTGAGGTGGTGTAGCAAGATCATTCCATTTTAGCTGCTTGTCATTTAGAGGTGAACAAAGTTAACCCTTCAGGTCATCTTTTGGATTTTTCCTTCCCACACCCCCCACCCCCAGCTTGCACCTATATCCCTATCTCCACAGGCTACATGCTCACCATATGACAGCACAGCTCCCTACCTCCTGTCCCCTCAAAGCCAACCAGCCCTCATCTTCCTGATCTGTGGATGATAGCTTGTGCCAGTTTGCCCTGTCACCCCCAAATCCACTGAACCCCTTTCCCTAAGCGTGAGCCAGTTTCAAGTTGCATGAAGTCGGCTCAGCAGCACATTATAAACAGCAACTGCAGCACTTCTTCATTGTGGGCTCCTGAAGTTTTAGCGCAAAAGGTAATACTTACATCCAGTTGGGAGTATTTCACTGCTTTTTAATAAGAAGGAATCAAAGACATGTGGCCTTGAGATGTTTTCGTTTTCCTCCAGTAAGCGACCATGTCAACCAGACTACTAAGCACTCAGGTGTAGTTCCTTTTGCAACTGGTAGGCCAGGATGATGGGGGAGAGGCCCAAAGTAGCCCACCTGTCTGAGACACTGAATTCCAGAGGGTCGGCCTTGTATGTTGCATTGAAAATGTTGCCATAACCACAGGTTTGGTGGTGCTGTTGGATAGGCTTGGACTACTAACTGCAAGGTTAGGGACTCAAAACTACCAGCCACTCCATGGAAGAAGATGAGGAGACTTGCTTCCCTAAAGATTTACCATCCCAGAAACTCTCTATAGCAGGGATGGGGGAACCTTTTATCTACCAGGGGCCATTTGGATACTTATAACATCATTCATGAGCCATACTGATCAAACATTTAATTAATTCACCCTTGGTTCAATGGCTGGAACAGCTTCTCTTTGGTAAGGTGTGTGATATGACCTGGTATTGATGATGTCTCAGGTCTTAACAGGCATTTTCCACCCCTGTCCTAAAAAGTTGTTGTGAGTCAGAATCAGTTTGATGGCAGTGGGTTTGTTTGGGTTTTGCACTAACTTTGAAGACTTCCTTAATTTCTGTCTTAAATTTTAAAAAAATAATTTTACTGGGGGCTTATACAACTCTTATCACAATTCATACACACATCAATTGTGTCAAGCACATTTGTACATTCATTGCCCTCATCGTTCTCAAAACATTTACTCTCCACTTAAGCCCTTGGTATCAGCTCCTCATTCCCCCCACTCCCTCCTCACTCATGAACCCTTGATAATTTAAAATTTTATTCTTGAAATGAGACCATGTAACTTTTCCTTCTTCCTTAGGGATTTATTTCCTTTGGCATCTTTGGATTGGACAAACATTTAATCATCCTACCTTTCAAGAGAAGGTAAGTTTCATTTTGAAATAAATATCAGTAAAGGTGATGACAAAGCCAGCCTATTAAGATACTGATGTTTTGAAACCTTGGGTAACGGCTAGGCGATCACTAGCCACCACGGAAAGGCTGTAGGTCCATCTATTTATTGCAAGTAATTGCAGAGAAAGTATGGGAAGAACTATGATAAATCCCACATTCTAATTTGCATTTTAATGTGAATTGGTGGAGGCTGACTTCTGTCTATTCCCACTAACTACATACAC